CCCCCAGCACAGCAGCTGTGATACCCACCCAGGACAGGCCCCCATCATGGCTGTTAATGCAGCCGACGCTCCAGGCACCGAACATGGGGCGCCACAGGAGGACAGACAGGTTTCTGGCTTCCAGAGTGGAGATACCACCAGTGTTTCAGGGTGGATGTATTGAGCCTCAGGGGGTCCAGAGCTGCAGGCATGCTGGCTGGTCAACTGCACATGACTAGTGTGGATAGGTGTGGACCAGACTCCAGTGTTTACATGTACTCACTCTCATACCTTGGCTTACATTTTATTTAAGGTACACTATTTGTATGCCCCTATAATTAGAATACACCAGCTTTTAGTCCGTATGTCCACCAGTTATATAGTATGCCTTGTGAATAATCAGTTGTAATAGATCATTACCAAAATACTTTAAATGTCTCCTGTAATCTCAACAACCAAGCCTTAGAAAGATACAATTTAAATGTGAAGACTCATTTGTTAAAGGCTTGGGGCCATGTCTTTGCTAAATAACTGGCTAGTGACTGCTGCGCATAAATACATAACATGTAAACCAACAGTAAAAGGGATAATGGCCATATTATATTATTATCCCACAAGTTGTCAGAATAAGAGCTTATTGTGAATGAGATATGTTTACGTACACCTGCTCGCCTACATTTCCTACAATGCCAATAACCAATAATATCCTTCTTTGGATGTAAACTGACTGCTTGTAATGTGGGTTTTTAATTCTACATTTTTTTGTCTCAAGCCCCAACTACATCATTATGACGTCATCAGGGGTTATTTCCTCAGACATGACCAAGTTAACTGTAAAATCACCCCTTGAAGGAAATGTTAGGCTACATATAAACACACAGTAGCCACTGCTGTCCATTAGTCAAGGTTGGCAAGTAAAGACAAAATCTAACCGCTTAGAGCCACTGTTTGATTTACTAGCTTATTTTTCTCTCTTTTAAATATCAGATTTCCTTGAGCTCCAGGTCCGATAGCATTGTTTCCTGTTGTCTCTCACATCAAGCGAAGGGAACAGCCTTGGGAGCAGAGTGAGCGTGATAATGGCGGTGAGGGAGAAGACAAGGACCCAGCTGTTTAATCTATCCCCCCATTCTCATGCAGAGCAGGCTTCAGCTGGTGGGGAGAGGAGCGGGAAGGGAAAAGTTTCACTGGTTCACTCAGAATGACTTATTTCTCCAAGGATCCAAGCGCAAACAGATGCAAACAAACAAGCAGGACACGGAGGAATTCAGATTTACCGCGGTGTAGATGTCACAAAAATCTGTCCGACAGAACTTTGTGGCTCTACGTACGTTTTTTGGCTCAAACGAGACTCGCAGTCACAATCCATCACTTCCGCAGTTTACTTCCCGGGGTCCATCTTTCTGTTTTGAGTAGATACACAAAACCTTGTTTGTTGATTCCTCCGTTGTTTTTTGGTTATTGATGAGAATGTTGTCACTCACTCGTGTTTGCCAGGGAAAGAATACACACACATTTGCACACTGTACACACACTTCCCTCTAAGCATTTATTCTCTCCCCACGATACACTTAGTCAGACTCTGTGTGTGTGTGTGTGTGTGTGTGTGTGTGTGTGAGTGTGTAGTCATGGATGGCAGTGGCTGTGTCACAATGTACCACATTTAATCTCCTGGTAATATACTCACTCTGTTACCAGGCAATGAAGAAGGATGGAGGGAGTGAAGGTAAACAAAACAAAAGGAGGGATTTAAGGGGGCAAGTTTGAGAAATGTAGAAGGAAGGAAGGACTTGAAAAGGCAAAGAAGGAAGGAAGAAATTTGAGGGGAACGGATGAATAAAACGGGAGAATTGTGGAGGAAGCAAGGGGGGTAAGTAGGACATAGCAGACAGAGGAAGGAAGAGGAAGATAGGAGCAAAAGACAAAGAAGAAATAATGGAAGAGAAGGGAATTGGGAGGCAAGAAGGAGGTAATGGAGGTGCAAGGAGAGAATGGGGCATGGAAGGAATTAGGGAGCAAGAAATAAAAATGGACTTTGGCAGGAGCGTAAGAGAAAGGACAAAATGAAGTGTGGATGAATGATTTTTTGAGAACAAGGGAAGGACAAGCACAAAAGAGGAAGAGCAGTTAGATGGAAAGAAACAAGCAAGAAGGAATGAATAAGTGAGTAAGACAAGGAAAAGGGATTAAGGAAAGAGTGTTGGACTCTAAAAAGGCAGGAAACGTTCCATAGAGGAACAGAGGAAAAGGAGGGTAAAAGAGAAGTAGATTCCTGTCTGCAGTGTCTAACAGCTGCCACTAGGGGGAGAAGTACCTCTCTCCAGCTATTACTCATTATCAACTATTATTTGGGGAGAAATGGGAGCCTTTATCAGATGAAGTTACCGGAAGTGGCTGCCTCAGTGTGATTCAGGCAGGAAAGTTAGAAGGGGGAGGAGATGTAGTCGGGATTTGTGGCTGAGATAGCAGATGCAGCAGTAGAACATACAAACACAGGATTGATTCATCTCACTAAGGACCGCTGCCTCCCACTATTTTCCTTTCGCTGTGTTATTATTTTGATCGCCTATTCTCAACAACGCCCCCACCACTACCACACCCCTCTAATTTTTTCCCATCTTTCCCTCTCGTTCATCTTCGTGCTACCAGCAGCATCTGTCTCTCCTTCTCTAATTCACAGATTGCTGCAGAGTGGCCATGTCCTCTCTAAAAACAGGGCTGTGTGTGCGCTGCACTGTAATTGCTGCACTGCCTTTCCAGAAGGCAGACTAGTACCTAGCTAATCTTAAGTGCAGTGTGAACACGTGCATGTAATTGGTCCCACTAACACGCTGCAACACAGTTTACTCTTAATTTAGAACAGTTGTGCCACCTTAGACACCTTCAAGTCACTAAAAACCACTGGAAATACTACAAAATAATAATAAAAAAGACCCCCTGTAGGGTTAATTGAGCAGTTATTGCAGGCAATAAAATTACTTATAATAACTACAATAATAATATAATAACTATAATAATATCTATTATAGGAAAATCAAAGCATGCACTAACAGTTTAATTGCTTCATGTCCTGTCCTGTTTGTGAGCTCACAGGAAGTGAGTCAGTTCTCACCTACATGAGTGCGGCATATCAATGACACTGAGTCATATAGTACATTATAACCACCTACTCTTATATGTTCATCCAGCTCGTCCTCTATATGTTTCTCTATCCATCTGCCGGCTCTCATTCAATCCAGTCTTCCTCATTTTGCCTTTCTGCCTTCATTCAATTCTCATTATCTTTCTCACAGCGGCCCTCTTTTCCCATGCACAAACAACTGTTTATGTTCATATACAGTCTGCGCACACACACACACACACACTCTGTGAGCCATTATTGCGCAGGCAGGCGTGGGTAGAGAGACCCCTGGGGAGTGGAAGTAGGTACTGCAGAACTGAGAGGTGGTCTATTTTAGATCACTGCAGCAGCAGCACGGAGCAGTGGGGGGAGCAAAATCAAACTATGCTAGTTAGGATTCAGGATGTACTTCAGAGCTTCTTCTGTTTATTGTTTTGGTCCCAAACTTTCCTTCAGCCTTGAACTTGTCTCACTGCAGACGATGTGTCAGTGTTTTCTAAAGGCTCTCCATTATTTAATGTCACAAACCTCCAAGACAGACATTCAGGCACAAAATTGCTCATATTGTGTTTTCAGAAACTTTTAAGATTTTGTTTTGTGTTAATTTAGGAGGAAACCACAGCTGAAGCTCATCACATAATCATCTAGTTCAATGAAGTTATCTGTTTGGTTCATTTTGGCTTACAGTGACCACAGCCAGGAGTAAATACTAATAAGTTACTTGCACTCATAGGTAGCTTGGTTTTTCTGAGTTCTGCGATGCTTGGAGTAGTGGGGGGTTAATTAAGTGCACCTCAAACATAGGCTACTGAGTGTGAACACACCCTTACATTTCAAGTGTAACACCTTGTATCTAGCAAGTGACACATTTTTGATTCAATTTCTCACTCGTACATGTTGTAAATTAGATAATTTCCAGTATATTATAGTGATGGTTTTCTGGGAGCCCGTTTGACATAGACAATAACTCCTAATTAAGCTTCTGACACTGCCACCACATTAGACTTAATCAAACCCCCAGCCTGGCCACCATCAGCCCTCATCTCCCCTTAATTCCAGCTCTGTCTCTGTTGACAGTGTTGGAGATGTGCGCAGCGTGACCCCAAGGTTGATTGAAGTGAAGTGAGGGATAATAAGTTTGCACAGCGGCGTTGAAACTTCTTTGACACGCTGATGAAGTGATGCTAATTGCCAAGTGCCACTGAGAAGTGCTCAATTAATGCACAAGGAAAAAAAAACAGAGAAAACCTGAGTGCTGACAGTTTCACTAAATCCTTTTCACTTTGGTAGAAGAGTTGGATTCAAAGGGAAGCTCCACGGGCAGAATGCCATCCTATTGCTGGATTTGGGAGGTGGTGATTTTCTAATCAGGAACTCTTTGTGTGCAATGGGAACTAAAATGTGTCTTCCTTGAAACAACCATGAAATGTTTTTTTGTGTTATGTGATTATATAATGCTTATGTGAAATAACAATGGGTTTATTGCTGACATTGAGATGCCTTTTTTCAGCTTTTTTCATTCAGTGTATTAATTCTGTTGTTCAATGATTGCTGGTTCTGTGTGTGATTCTAGCTTGATTACTGCTAATGCATTTCTTTGCAGACAGCTATCATTAAGTTAACACAAATCATACTATATCTAAATAATTCATAAATCTGTTTAACTTGTTAGTACATTTAAAAAAAACTTAAACTCAAGGTAACTAGTGTGCTGTTAACTTGTCTAACCAAACAAACCAGCCCAAAAACACATCCTCAAGTTCTTCCTGTCCTAACTAAAGCTGATTTAAAGTACATAACCTGCTAAACGTTTGCCATGTTGCCCTTCTAACCTCTAACCTTTTAACTTCCAGATTTCTTTGTAACCTCTCTTAATTTGTCTTCTCCAAATTTCTTAAAGGGAACTTTGATAATGAGCGCCTGGCTATTGCTAGACAAAGAATCCCATACCGACTCGGTCGGGTAGTTGATGAGTGGCTACTCGACAAAGGTAATAAAATCCCTTTAACTCCACTAATGACCTAACCGCCTAACCTACCGTTAACCACTACTCTGGGGGAGGTGCAGTGCCATACAACAGGGGTGAATGTGATTTGGCTCTTTAACAGAACTGTAGGTCCCCTATAATTCACAGCAAATTTAACATGCCTAATAATAATTGGCTGCTAACTCATTCCTTTCAATTATTAGTTATGTTATTTGGTCTGAAAAACCAACCTCGAATTCAGAATTTCCATCATATATTTGCCATTATTTTACACACAGTTCGCCCAGTTGAAATTGTAATTGGCATTTCAAAAAAATATACAGTTTTCGAAATAACACCTTTCTCTAGCATTGGTATGCAGAAATCCAGGGGACCATATCCAAAGCACCTTAAACTGGGGCTGCATCTCTTCAGAGAATTAACCCCCAAATAACCCGACATAACCCCCTAATAACCTGACCACATGAAAATAGCCTATTGATTCCGTTTGCTTCTTTCCTGTGTCTTTTGTTGGCTGAATGTGAATTTGCATTGACTATATTTAGTCATTCATGAAAACAAAAACAGAAACAAATTACAAGAAAAAAGAACCCCCCCTGAAAGTCACTAAAAGTTAAAGGGACTGTTGAAGTGTTCAGTAATCAGTCTATATTCATTGCAGCCTGTTGGTGCCATTTTCCACCCAACATTATGCATAACTAGTGCCATAAGTGTCGAATGTGGTCCCATCAAAGTGATGATTCTTTAACCCTTTGAGTGCCGAATGTCCCAACCTCTTTGTCTTTGTCTTGTGCCGTGTGTTTGTGCTGCTGAAGGTGGTTGATTCTTCAAAAAGAGAGGGATAAAATAAATCGGATAGATAAATGGAGCTGAGTCTTAAAATAGTTTTTGTGTTGCAGTAAAACCATAGTGGATGTATTTCTCATGCACTTCTGTGCATATTGTGAAGTGTGGTAGTTTCAAAAGAGGGCAACAAGAGCACATACAGTACCATTTAGCAGAATAAAACCCACAGTATAGTGATGAAAATCTTTAGAAATGGATGGTTTTGGTTTAGATTATCAGAATATCCAAAGCTTAAAGACTTTACAGTAAGGTTTGCATTATCTTTTCTATTTGCATAAGAGATGCTTTTAGATTATCTTGAATTAAGAGTTTAAAGCATTAACCAGTTAGCTTTTGGTGCTCCTTTGAAATGGTATTGTGAACAATAACACATGCAGGGATGAATTCAGAAGATAAAATTTTGTCTCCGAGAGCAAAATGAAGTATTCATAGCGACAGACAAACAAGATAAATGAAGCGCCTGCATATTTATTTCATGGAAACAAAACAAATCCTTGCATTCATCTCCAGCTTCTATAAACTGACTTCTCCGCTCTCCTCCGGTGCATCTGGGAATGCACTTCTGCTGAGGACAGTTAGGACACAAATCAGAATTAAAAAGACTGGGGAGATGAAAGCTGAATGAAAAACTGGATCAATAAAAAATGACTTACCCACTTATAAAATGATTTGTGCATGCTATAAAACTCTAAAGAGAATGATCTTGAAACCGAATGTATTATTCCCTTTCTTCTATAGTTTGAGATGAGTCTGCATCCAATCATGTAGATGACAGCATTGGGAGAAAGTAGGAAGACGAAATAAACAAATAATCCCATCAAACCTCAAGTGAGGGCTTTGATCAGGATACATACTCAGAAAAATGTGCAAGGTCGCGTATTTGTTAATTTGATTGGATTTGTTAAAGAAATGTCATACACACGTCATGGACTAAAGAGACAAAGTGGTTTTGGTAGAGCATTTCTAAGATACTTTTTGCGTATAAGACATATTAGTCTAGATAACGAGGGGGATTAGCGGACATCTCCGAGCTCAAAGGGTTAAAGCTGTTTGTTGCTTTGATAAGGAAGCGGCTAGAACTTAAAGCTAAGAAACGTCTAAGCAGAATCTAACCACCTAACAGCAAATCAAACTCCACCCACACTAACTGCTGAGGGCTTCTCCCCATGACTCCCCACCTTCCGCCGCTAGCCATGAATTGAATCGATTGGAGCCATTTTCCAGCTTTGGCCTGCTGGTGACAAATTCAGAGAGCCCTCAGTTATAACCTTGTTATAAATTATGTTTAACATTTGGACCTGGATGTCAGTATTTGGAAGAACTTGGACAGGTCGCGGCGATCGCTTGGGACAAAAACTAAATAATAAAGCTAACTAAGTTCTAACTACTATTAAAAGAAACCAATCTCCGACATCTTCCCCTTGTCAACTCCATATGTGATGCAAAACTCAGAGGGTTAAAACAAAGCAAATAACTGAACACCAAATTCAAAAATGACGCACTTGCCCTGGGTCATTGAAACAAAATGTGTTTGATGAAATGAATAAAGGTCCCTTTAACATTTATTGTTTTCACCACAAAGGAAATGGAACATGTTTTTGAACGTACTGTTCTATATGCTTTATGCAATGCAGAATGAAGGGTGTATGAACATTTGAATGAGTTACAGGCTGTTGTGGGGTAAACAGCCTTGATCATTTATCCTGTAATATGTCCAATAATGGTCCAGGCTGTGTTACCAATATGGGGGTTTTGGTCAATCTTTGGTATGGGTCTTAACATGCTCTTGACCACAATCAGCCCCATGGGTCTCCTTTTCAAGTGCCTTAAATGTGAAACCCAATGAGCATGGAAAACCTCCACACTTCTCCGATCCCATTGGTACTACAACAGTGCCATTCCTCTCAAGACTCGTGCACTCTTATGCTCATGTGTTGACATAAATAAAATAAGAGCATAATCGCTCACAATCGCTCACAATCGCTCATCACTCTCACAAATCAGTATTTTAGTCGCATGAGGATATAATGAAAGTCATGGGAGCCAGCAGTGTCATGGAGGAGAGCTGCACTGTGTCATTCTGAAGCCCTTATCCCATCTCCGCTACTATGTGTGAGGCAGATCAGAGTGAGCGTCTCTGTCCGACTCTCTGCCTGCTGACTAAATCCAAAATGGCAGCCATTACGGGGACCCAATGGAGGGGAAAAATCAGAGTGCCAAAAGTTTTCAACAGCTTTATCTGAGCCAAAACTTACTCAGATGCATCCCCCCCTTTTCCTTGCGTCTTTGTCTCGCCTCGTGATGGATCTGTCATCCCAGGTTTTCTGCTCTCTATCTGGCCTTCCTACCCCTCACTCCCTTTTATTTCCTCTTTATTTTTTCCTTAACCACCAATGCCAGCCTTCATTGAAAAAAAAAATTGGAAAGTATTTCCCCACATGGATGTAGCCTGTTTCTTTTGAAACAATAATAATGTGTTGCAGCTTCCTGATCTCATCAGGGAACTCCACTAGAAAATAAAGATTACAAATAACCAGCAAGAATCATTTCTCCTTAGTTGTTCCTTTTAGCAGATGAGCAAGAAAGCAAATAAAGCCTCTGAAGAATTGGAACTGTATATCCTTCTTGCAAGGAGTCTATCTCTGGAGCTCTCCAACCGCATGGCCATCCAGCTCTTTAGTAGAGCTACGTGAGTGCAGGGAGGAGGAGAGGAGGAATACTACAACATCGGGTTTCTGTGGTCTAAAATCCAAGCTGGAGTACTGGGTTTAATGTTCAGTGTTTAATGGTCTGGTGTGAGCTCCCCCATTCCCTAATCAAAAGCAATCAAGTCCTCCCACTTGGTGTGGGGCCAGAGCCCAAATCATCATCTCCAGGCCAGGCATTGGTCCAGATCTGCTATTCATGATCCCAGCTTCATTTCAGAGTTTCTCTCACATTAGGCTGCAGTCGGCAGAGAGCAAATCCATCTGAGTCTGTCTTTTAGCAACCCCATGATGAGATTGTATGCTGCTGAGTTACTCTTGTTTTCTCAATTGATCTCTCTGACTATTATGGCCATATTTGCAGGAAGTACGGGGGAAAGTGTATGAATGTTGAAAATGCTTGCTCATGAGTAGGAAAGTGGCTGTGAGAAAGCAGCTCTGTAGCTGCAAAGAAGGGACACTGCTGTTTTTTCATGGTCCCCCACCATGAAATAGCCTAAAAACAGCATAATCACAGCTGGACTGAATAAAACGAGCGAAGATTGTCCCTACAGTATCTAACCATCAAGCGATCTCTCCCTGTGTCTCTCCCTTGATAGTATCGCCTGTTTGAGATCCACATACAGATATAGGATCAGAGGAAGAGCCACATATAATTAAATCCTATCTACTGTCTCCAAAGCCCTGCAGATTCACCGCCAAAACCACGGCGCCCTCAGCTGCCTTCAAGTACCTCAGGGCTCCACACTGCCTCTCAAGGCTTTCAGTCTGACTTCATGCCGCATTTTGCCCCTCATCTCCATTGTCAAACACAATTAATTCATAGTGTTTTACCCAAACCAGCCCAACTTCTGAGGAGCAAAAAAGCAAAACGCTCTTAATTACCAAAGAGAGCCTTGTGCCGAAGAGATAGCTTGGGAACACTTCATAATCGACTTTGTCAGCATCCCACCCCACCCCCATTGTGCTCAGTCTTCGACTTTCTCCCTCCTTATTCTTTTTTCTTTTCTGGAGAGAAGAAAATGGAAATAGGGGGAGTTCTTGTTTGTTGATATACATACTAGAAATTCTGCAGGCGCATGAAGGATTTGTGAACACAAACCTATAAAGACTGTGCGTGCAAATGGTCCAACTTTCTGTTCTGCACATCACAAAGCAATGTATTGACAGAGGTGAATTCTGGGCCATCCTTCCCACCCTGCAACTCAGCTAAGAGAAAACATTTCGGATAGAAGCTCCTTGCAACCATATGGTATCCCTCCTCTCTGTGAGATAACAGGAGTACAAGGAGGATGAGAGAGGCGTAATGATGACGGTGGAGGGAGGAAGATACTGCTCTCTCCAGCTGCAGTCCTTTTAATATCCCTTCCACTGGGGATGGGTACACTTAGATCATCCTTTTACCTCCCCACCCCAACCCTGACTCTCTCCCCCTTCAATCTCCCTCTGCCT